GGCCGCAATCGCATCTGATGTTAAGTGAGATGCAGTCTAGGATGGTACATATCTGCCCTATATCTGCCCTGTATCTCTATCTGCTTATTTACTCTCGCCTTGAAAAGACCCGGTTCAAAGTGTTCATATGAACTTTTCCCATGTCCAGCAACACATATCAACTAAAAGCAGCTGTGGCAACTGTAGCACATGGCGAGCCCTGGCAGCAGACACTTGGGGTGCCACCTACGGGTCCTATGGGGACTCAGACCAATTATTCAAAGAACCAGACAACGCAACAACTAAAGGAGTTATAGAGCACGTTGATCTGCTGCAAGTGAGTAAATAAAGTTACCTAGAGCAACATTTATTTGGAATACAGCATACAGCTGAATATTATTATGTAGTTATTAACCTATTTTGTTAAACTCAGTAGGTAAATCCTAACATTAACGTATACGTCGAAAGGGTATAACTATTCCGTATGTCACAGTTGCATACCTCAAGGGTTGCAATATGTGACTCATAAAGTCAATAAAAAACAACATAAAGAAGGATAGACCGGTGCTTTATTTTAACAGTTCAGAGCCCCGATTACGGTAACTTTTATAACGTCTACAATCCAGACGCGTTTCTGATTCTGCGATACGATTGGTCAAAACAGCTGACGTACGCTGTTGAACGACCAATGGTATTGCAGAATCGAGAAGCGTGTCTGGATTGTTGACGTTAAAAATTACCGTAATCGGGGCTCTGGATCTTATTTTTTCTGCAGGTTGGTTATTGGCGTCCAATAGACGCATTGCGATTTGAAGACGTCTTATTCCCTCACGTGGAGCACGGGTTTAGGGGAAAAGCCTTACCGATAATAACTTATCATGTAAGTATTTTGAAAAGTCGAGAATAGTCTATTACTATTTTGTTTAGTTGCGCACACACAACAACATCTGTACGACACCTCGATCGAGTTAAGCGCACCTGGCACTCCTGGCAGCCGTGATGTTATATCAACGCTCTGGTACGGACGGGACGAACGCGGGGAGGTGTGCGGGTGATTGCGAGGGAGAGTCACATTATAGCGAGGTGCACAGTTAGTTAGATCTGGTTGCATACCTCTTATGGTACGTCCACCCACACTGGGCGAATATGCTCGCGCGGCAAACTCGACATCTTGCTTACTCAAGAGCAGGGTGAGCAGGATGTCGAGTTTGCCGCGCGAGCATATTCGCCCAGTGTGGACGCACCATTAGATTAAGAAGTGCCCGGCTACCAAGACATGTACTAAAAGCTCTATAATTTTCTAGAACCCACCATGGACAATTCTTCAAGTCAACGAATCTGGTTCTGTGGTCAGCTGCAGTGGTTTGATTTTCGACATCGTAAACCAGCTGGCCAAAAATAAGAACTTCACGTAAGTGTTTCATGATTTTGTTGAAGGTGTAGTCATTTTCGTAAATTGGTTACGTTCACTTTTTGTTTCAGTGTTAAAGTGATTCTTCCGAGTCACGTGAAAAACTTGTTATCTAATGACACTACGGCGGATGTAAGTTTTAATTTGAATAATTTTAAAAATGTTAATCGGTTATTTTTAGCTGTGAATAACACTTACTTGAACGATGTTGTTGTAGATGATGCACAGCCAAGATGCAGCATTGACGTTGATAGCAGTTGCGAAGGGGCAAGCTGCTATTGCGGCAGTTGCTTTCACAGTTCTTTCAGACCCGCCATCTGGTAATATGATAAGTAATGTAATAAGTTACTACCGTCCGTCATGAAATAAATTACTACAAATAATCCAAATTAATTAAGGAGATTTAGTCGCCACTTTTGTGAAATTGGCGCCCAACGTGGGTCTGTATTAATTTTCTAGTAACTTCCTACTTTTGATACAAATTATCTGTTCTCTATCTTTTACAGGTATCAATTACACGCTAGCAGTTAGCACTCAGCCCTACAGCTTCATGATCGCTCGGCCGCGAGAGCTTAGCCGAGCGTTGTTGTTCTTGCTACCTTTCACCACTGATGTTAGTATCTGCCACGCCCTATTACAGTAAACTTTTAGAACACTATGAATATCAAGCACAAGTGAAGTGATACCAGTTCTATTTAGCTGTGATGAGCACAGCATACGGTGTAATAGCACCTCTTAACATGGCATAAGTTGCTTGAAGCTTGATGTGTTATCGCAAGTAGCTGCAAGCAAATCGTATTTTGTAGTATGCATGCATGTACCTCATAGCCACGACATTTGGTTATTTGTTTGACGCTAGTTTGTACTTCACTTACCTCTTTTCTTTTTTAAATTCTGGCATTTCCAGACGTGGCTTTGCCTGGGTCTTGGGGTGATCCTTATGGGCCCGACGCTGTACATCATCCACCGCCTGAGCCCGTACTACGAGGCCAAGGAGATCACCCGCCAGGGTGGCCTATCCACCATCCACAACTGTCTGTGGTACGTCTATGGGGCGTTGCTGCAACAGGGTAAGATCATTTGTATATATTTTTTAAAGAATTATGCTGGTTGGTAATGTTGGTATTAATATTGCGTGAAGTATTGTCATAAAGACAAAATATATATTATTACAAGACGATTCATATTTTGACAACAACATGTGATCTTATTTAAAACAATCTATAAAAAAGGAAAAATATTCTTACCCATTTATAGCCTGCACCTTAAAATTAAAAAAATACCTATTAGAAATACAATGACGATTCACGATGACTAAAGGTTTTCCTTATCAAATAATTCTATTTAAATTCTCATTACCTACTTTTGTGAAGGTATGTTTGTCCCATTTGCAGGCAGTATGTTCAGTCGTCGTTTCAGCCAAATGACGTCCACTGCTGGACAAAGGCCTCCCCCAAGGTTTTCCACATGTTCAGTATGTTAATTTAACTAGTATCATTGAATATTTAATAAACAACGTGCAATACAATGTATCTATGGTTATTTATCTACCTACATAGGTACTCTTATTGTAATAAATTGTAAAAACCAATATAGGTAATTAACCGGAATAATTCAGAGATATAAATCATTTAGCTAAAGAAACAGATTTGGAGTTTCAACTTCTAACATGTCCTTTTTAGGTGGAATGTACTTACCAAGGGCTGACAGCGGTCGTCTTGTGGTTGGCACCTGGTGGTTGGTGGTTCTGGTCGTGGTAACCACCTACTCCGGAAACCTGGTGGCCTTCCTCACATTCCCGAAGCAGGAGATCCCAGTGACCACCATAGGAGAGTTGCTGGAAAACCAACTCACGTATACGTGGTCGATTCAAAAGGGGTCCTATTTGGAGATGGAATTGAAGGTAGTTATTTAAATCGCTAATCGTCGTGGCTCTTGCATTGTGAAAAAGTACCTAATTGAGTAATTACAGTGCAAGTGTAATGTACTGTCTGTGGTAAAAATGTAGAGTCTAATGCGCTGTCGACTGTCACTTGTCGATTTGTAGCTTAAACTTTTTATTTAAACGATTTTGCTAAAATAATAGATCGTTTCATCCACGAAGACGCGCCCCACCATTCTTCCGCTCCCACCATTGTTTAAGTTTTATCGGTACACGCTAAATCATCCATAAGTGCACACTGCACACGCACACTACAATGATGACGCTTGGATTGCTCGGATCAAACTCCCCGCACCCCGCGCTCCTCTCGACCAAAAAGTCTTCGTGGATGAAACGATCTATATTAATTTCTACATAAAGCCGTCAATCATAATTATATTCCATTCCAGAACTCCGACGAGCCGAAGTACGCGGCGCTGCTGAAGGGAGCCGAGCTGAGCGGAGCGGGCGCAAGCGGCAATCTGTCTTCATGTGGGTGACGTGTTTAATATTCGCTTTATCATTTATTTACAGCAAGCTTCGCCAGCAAAAAAATAGGCTGGCTGCCTGCTGGATTTAGACACTAACCCTCGGCTTTGGAGATTTTAAGCTTAAGGAATGCTCATTCTCTACTTAAGGATGAAATTAGGCTATTTTCGTTTTTGAATTTGCATAGGTATATCAGTCAGCATAATCAGTAATAGCAAAATAACACTAATTAAGCTAATTTATTCTAATTATATTGGGTTTAAAATGAAAAGACAATTATTTGGGACTAACAATTGAAATGGATAAGACGATTTTAGAACGATAGAAGTACGAAAATGTGTATGAATTACAATAGTAAGTACCTATTAAGTAATTAGATTAACTTGTTTTTTAAGCGTTAAGATAATAAACCTATCTAAGTATATACTTGAATTCTCGAGTATAGTGAGGATTCTCTTTGCAAGTCATCTTTTTGCCGCAGGATTCCTGCGAGGGGATTAACGAGAATTCTACGAAATCCTTGTACCTAAGGCTTAAAAGCCATGACACGGTTTAGCCTTATAAAAACTCTTTTAGTGAAATGAAAACGATAATAGGCCCATGGAAATATCGTAATCTAAAAACCTCACATACCTAGCACGATATTATTGGATCACATGCTTGATTACCAAATATACCTTATTTTGACTAAACTTAAGTTATTTTAAAAGAAGAAACCAAATATGTATAGGTATTGGTTCTGTCTACCTAGGATGGTCCTAAGTATGACCAAAGCACTTGCAATCTCATCCGAAATCAAAATTAATACAATGGCTGCAGAGGCTCATACCTAATCGCTTAACAAAAGTTGAGGTGAATACACACACTAATGTAACATTTTGAATACAGTATACTCGTATTTTAGGCCTAGGATGCACGCCGCGATAAGGGTTTATCACGCCATTTTATTGTTACGCGATAAGCTCATACATTTGTCGTCTAAAATCGACAAGATTTTATCACGGCGAGCATCCTATGGTTTGTTTCAGGGAAGAAGCAGCTGATACGTATCCGCGAGCAGAGGCACGTCATCTTCGATTGGAAGCTCAGGCTGAGCTATCTCATGCGGGCTGAGCACATGCTCACGGACACTTGCGACTTTGCGCTCAGTGAGTGATTACATCCTTTTCAAATCTGTATCTATAAAAGCGAAAAGTCACTGACTGATTGACTAATTCACTCATCACGAAATCTCGGAAACTACAAGTGCCATGAGTCTCAAATTTTCAATGGGGGTTCCTTTTAGAACGTAAGTGCTCACTAAAACGGGATTTTGCAAAATTCAACCCCCAAGAGGGGCAAAACGGGATCCATGCGTACGAAGTCGCGGGCTGCCGCTAGTAAAAGATATTGCTGCACAATGTACAAATAATATTAGGCAGGTAGGTTGTAATTTCTACGTCACTACAGATGAAATGATCCTGTGAATGTCTGCCAAAACTCTCTCAAGACTCGTATGTTTGTTGTGTTGATGTTTTAATATAGACGATTCTCTCAAAAGTGTAGAGCAGATTGTAGTTTGTTGCACCTCTTCATTAGAAGACCCTTTTAACTTTATCCTTCTAAGGTTCCCTGTATTCTAGGTGCAGAAGAATTCATGGATGAGCAGCTGGCAATGGTGTTGCCCGCCGGTAGTCCGTACTTGCCCGTGATAAACAAAGAGTAAGTGATCACCATGGAAACTGATTCTGTAGGTTAAATGGAACTTTCATCCAGAAAGTCAGTCTTCATATGGCCACAGATACGAATGGCCCTATACCTATAGGGGACAAAATATGGATAAATATGTTGCGGAACATGTCGCTGACCAACTACGTAATGTTCCCAGGAACAATTTTGCGGGACATGCGGGGATGTTGCCCAAAGAGGCCGTCTTGATTAGTTGTCTTGAAAAGTTGCACAATTAGGGAACAAACGCCGCAAAACTGTCACGAAACTCGTGTTTTACTCCCAGAGCAACACGAAACATATCCCGGGTCAAGTAGAATGTTTCACGACGAAACACAGGGGAGGTTTGGGAATGTTGCTACAACACATAGAATCTTAATTACATGGAAAAATTCTCCCTTGTGTATCCTTGGCTTAAGTTTATCCCCACTATTATGATGACTTGAAATTTCCAGGATCAACCGCATGCAAAAGGCGGGGCTCATCTCCAAGTGGTTATTCGCTTACTTGCCGAAGCGCGACCGGTGCTGGAAGACCTCCAGCATTGCGCAGGAGGTGAACAACCATACTGTCAACTTGCGCGACATGCAGGGCTCTTTCTTCGTGCTATTCCTTGGTACGTTGATAATAGAGATCACTTTAGTGTAACTGTAGATAAGGTCTTCACTTGTTTTTTACACAACCACAAAAAAACTTAGGCTGAGTTGCACCATCTTGCTTTATAACTTTAACAAACGTCAAAAATCTGTCAAACTCCATACAAAAAGAACCGGTTATTGTTAAAGTTGTTGGTGCAACTCAGCCTTAAGCTTAGCTATGTTTCTGGTTCAAAGATGATATGGAAAGCCGACGGTTATATTTTCTTATCTTATGAAGCTCTACTAAAGTTCAAACTAATATTATAAATGCGAAAGAAACTCTGTCTGTCAGTCTGTGTCGCTTTCACGCCTAAACTACTGAACCAATTTTGATGAAATTTGGCATAGAGATTTGAGTCCCGGGAAAGGGCATAGGATAGTTTTTATCCCGGTTTTTGAAACAGAAACGAGCGCGATAAAGTTTTTCTGTGACAGACAAAATTCCACGCGGGCGAAGCCGCAGCCGGAAAGCTAGTAGAGTCTATATAAAACAATCAGGAACGCAAGTTTATGGCCGTAGCCTAAACTATGAAGCTCAAAGTCCACTAACGTATCAGTAGTGAACTCATAGGCTGGGTCGTGGCTGAGTTTTATGCTCGGTGCGATTTGTCATGTAAGTTTTTATTTCTGTGGGCTGAGTGTGAGTGTACGTTTTTTAAACGCGCTCACTAGATAACGCGTTTAAAAAATGTATGAAAATTTTAGTTTTTGAACGTTTCCCGCTAGAGGCGCTGTACAATCCGTCATACATTTAATGTCATTTTTTGACGCGCTCACGTGAGCGCGTTTGATGTAGGTAAACTCACACTGGGCCCTCTGAAAGTGGTATGGCGGTATTTCATGGCACTCGAGAGAATACCTGCAATTTCTGGTCGAAACTGCTTTTATTTACTCGTACCTTTGGCATTTAGTTCCGATAGGTATATACCTAATATGGATGGTTTGATATAGAGCCATATAGATCTAAACTCGTCAAACGAGTTGCAAGACTGGAATGGTAATACATTTAAAATGTCGTTACATATAAAGATATGTCGGCGAATGGTAATGTGATCAGTAGGTGTCTATACTAGTCAGTATCAGTAAGCGTGTTTGGTACTGAAGATTCAATTGTCCTTCAAAGCCACCTTGAGGCAACTAATCTAAGGTTTTAAAGAATTTAAAGTACTTGATTTGTATTGCACAAATTACTAATAGTCGTTAACCCCTCGTCGTTTCAGCCGAATGACGTCCACCGCTGGACAAAGGCCTCCCCCAAGGATTTCCGCTAAGACCGGTCCTGCGCTGCCCGCATCCAAGCACCTCACGTGACCTTCACCAGATCGTCGGTCCACCTAGTGGGAGGCCTGTCCACACTACGTCTTATTAACCTCCTCACCTCATATTAACTTAAATACCGATGCGTGTGTTACGAGTGGGTTCACCACAATAGTCAAGTCAACCAGCGTTCCTCGGATTTCGAGTCGGCCAGTCCAACCCCTTCACCGTTCGGCTATTGTGATCTTCGGTCAACAGTCTAAATGAAAGGGACCCTCAATCAAACTATGTGTTTCTTTTTAGGGTTCTTCTCAGCATCGGTGGTGCTCCTGCTCGAGTGGTTTTGTAACAGACGAAGGAGGCGCAGTGAGGACGTCATCATCAAACCTTATGTAGAGTGATACTAAGGCTGTTTTAATAAATATCTTTTATGCACATTATTGTTTTAATTACATAACACTTAAGGTTCCCAATATAGGTACTAGTAATATACAAAATTTTGAAAAACCGAATCATGTTTCGGTGACTCATGATGACGCACTCGTAACTGTATAAACTTACGTTAATCATACTATTGGAAATGTTCATAAATTTTATATTCCTCTAAGTTAAAACACTTGGTTACGTGACGTTTTCATAAAATATAATCGTTTTCCCAATTTTACATTGCTAGATTGCTACAGAGGCAGACCGATGAATACAAAGGTAGCTGATAAATTAAGGGGATGAAAAAACGAAGAGTTCGCTCTTTGTGGCGATTCTTGACGGAAATTCAGGTCCAGCTGTGAACTGATATCGTTAGAAATGATTACGACGATAAAATTGGTATTATAATACATTTAGCATTGCAACTGCGTGTTACATTTGTATTAACAAAAATTGGATAAATTAAATAATATTTCTTAATAAGTCGTTAAAGACAAGTTTTCCGCCATCATCAAGTTTGGATATCACGTGGCCATCATGCAGGAGAGAGCTCCCGAGCATGCGGTGGAAGCGTGCTACTCACCTTGACTGGGGTTTGCACTCTGAACCGGTTTGCAGACATTTTCATTCTATTTCTAGTCCCATTAATGGCCTGTTAACATCTCTGTCAAAAATTGGCGTTATTTTGGAACGTTTTTACACGCTATTTCTTGCCTGCGATTGTGCCCGCGCGGGGTTGGGTCTGATGGATTCTGTTAATGGGTTTTAATTTAGAGGGTACCCTAACAGGAAAGTCCCGAAAACATCGGTCTAGTCGTAGCGAAGAAACCAATAAAATTGCTGCATTATCCATGCATTTTAACGCATTTAGGCTTCTCGTACACCCTAGGAAATTTCACCGTGTCTGCCACAGACAAGACAAGAATTTCGTTGGACGCCATGAAAATTTATCACACGTGTCGTGTCTAGCGTTTTTCTTGGTCAGCACCGGAGCATTTGTACACGGTTCGTGTGTAGAAACGACATTAATTTTTGCGTAGGCCCGGCGACTTTTCTTAGCATGTACAAGCGGCCTTATACTACGCTAAGCTTAAATGTTAGCTCGTGTTTCTATTACGCAGCATCTAAGAAAAAGTTGGTCAACGACCTCACATAATTCAGCAATGTTTTTCAAAGTTTTGCATAAGTAATTAGCATAATATAAGCCTACCACAGTATTGCTATTAAACCTTATAGGTGTATCATATTTATATTATGTTTTAGTTGAGTATTAGTTTGTTTCAATAAGAGGTTGATTGTGTTAATTGTCCTACTACAATTTTACGAGCGAGATCAAACACATAGCTCAAGACCGAACGCGATGGAGGACTGTTGTGGACGCCCTCTGCCCCATCTAGGGGACATAGGACCATAAATCAAGTAAGTCAAGTCACTTTTATCGTAGTTCTGGCAAAATTCCACTGATGTTTCACGAGGAGCAAACAAATGATGTCCATTATTGGAATCGCCACAATTTTTTACCTTTCATTGGTTATCCAAGTCAACGTGTTCGGACTTAGGGTCCAAAATATCCAATCCTTTTTTTCCTTCTAAAAATATCCAAGGATTTTGAGCCAAACCTTTTATGAATTTCTCACAGTTTTCGCAATGTCATTTTCTTGAGTTGGATTTCATTAATTCTGCCATTAGATAACATTGATAAGTGCCTAGGTATAGGTCTACGTTAACTTGATAATGTATTAACTTGACAACGGAGTTGTTTTATGCCTGGTAGGTCCTAAAGTCTGAAAGATGTCAAATAAACAGGGTATTAGGTGTAAGTAATAAAATTATCATGTTAATCAAGAATTTATCGGAAATTGCTAATTTAAGCCACTGTTTACGTTTATGGCGGAAGTAAGGACGTTACTGTCGTTGTGTGTGTAGATTTATCATAAAAGGAAGGACAACGAACTTTAAACGTTACTTTAAAATATGTATAAATGCCATACTAAACAGAAAAATAAATAAAAGATTTAATGAATCTTTAATAATTGTACATATTTAGATTAAAAGATTCATGAGTTCAGTACACGAAATGAAGTCCAGATACACAGAGGAAAATACATTAAAAAGATAAAAAATAAAGAAAAAAGTGCTTACAATAAATCGATATGCAATACTGGGTGTATTGCATATTGATTCGTAACTTTAACCGTCGCCAAAGTATTCAAAGAATTTGTAGGGATTACTTAAGTTTTTAAAGGAGAGATGAAGATCAGCAGTGGATGCTGAATCTCTAGGGCAAGACCTCTAGCCAATACCTCAATCAGAGATACAGATGACGGCAAAATAAGCTGAACACATGGCATCTTGTGCAGTGGTAATAAGAGCGGTTTTGCAACAACAATGTATAATGTCAACCGCCTCTAGTGGTAAGACCACCTACTTCAGACGCAGAGGTCGC